CCAATCAAAAAGGTGATGATCATCTGCTTCCTTTATATCCTTATTAATACACCGAGGCATGTTTCAACAGGCAATGAATAGTCATGTTACTTGCCTAAAAAATATTACAAGGGAAAGTCTGACATGGGGCCTAAAAATAATAGTTCCAAAACTCCAGTGACGCCCTGTCGCACGTCTGCGCTGTTTCTCCTTAGTGATAAGTCCTTTGATAGGAGTATTTGATGGTTGGGGAATGACAACCTTAAAAGGATCTCCTGAGACAACCATATGGCAAGTAGGGCTCTTAATGAACCTGTAGTGAAAAAAGGTATATGCAGTCCAGATAGGGTCAAGTCGAGCTATGGACCTTTTCTGCAATGTGCCTCCGGCGCTGCCCAAGGTATTTTTAGTGCGTAGTTATGTACGCGCAGTACATAGGACGCAACCTTATGGGGCAGTCGGCAGAGGCACTGCTAATCAAGGTCTGGATCATTGACTTATCGTAATTATGGGCGGACCAGACTCATTTAGACATGTCATTGGCTATATTGCCCAACGAACTGTTCGGCCTGACAAGGCCGCCGTACACCTTGGCTGCAAGGGCCGCGGTGTGCTCTTCAGTACGGAGAGAGCGCTACATATTTCCATTGACTGTAATAACGCCACGAGGTCCGGGCATCTTAAGCTTCAAGTAAGCATAGTGCAGGACTGCATTAAAGCGGGTGAAAGCAGTTCGTCCGAGCAGTGCGTGATAGCCACTACAAAAAGGGACGATGTCGAAGATTAACTCTTTGCTGCAAAAGTTGCCTGGGGAGCCGAATACTACCTCTAGTGTTAGTGAGCCCGTGCAATGGGCCTCCATGCCCGGTATCACACCTTTAAAGGTAGTGTTGCTAGGCTTGATTCTTGATGGGTTGATGCCCATCTTGGGGATAGTGTCTTGATAGATCAAGTTGAGACTGCTGCCCTCATCCATAAGGACTCTAATGAGATGGTATCCGTCGATAATTGGATCAAGTACCAGGGTGGCCGAACCCCCATGACGGATACTGGTTGGGTGATCCCTGCGATCGAAAGTGATCGGACATGCTGATCATGGGTTAAACTTTGGGCGACAGGCTCTATAGCGTAGACGTCCCTTAGTGCGCGCTTGTGCTCCCTTTTGGGGATATGAGTGACATAGATCATGTTTACTGTTTCACCTAGGGGGGAAACTGCTTCTAACCCCCGGTGTTCGGCTGACGGGGCTCATCCTCGTCTTCACTTCGAGGTCCCTTTCCCTTGTGTTCGGTATTTATCTTACCGACCTGTTTGAAAACCCAACAATTCCTGTTGGTGTGGTTAGCAGGCTTATCGGGTGTGCCATGAATCTGACAGGGCCTCTCAAGGATTTTATCCAAGCTGGATGGGCCGTCCTTGTTGCCTTTAAAAGGCTTCTTCCACTGATCGGATTTAGAACCACTGAATCCGGCATTGACTGCCGTATCATCTGCGTCGTTGTTGTTGTTCCGACGTTTATTTTTATTGCGGCGAGGTTTACCATTGCCATCCCTGGCCTTAGAAGTGCCGGGGTCGCCCGAGCTGTTGCTTCTACGAGCCAGCCAGCTATCCTCACCCGCACAAAAACGGGTCATAAGTGTGGTCTTCGGCTTCTCCTGCCCGAGGTGTCAGGCAAGCCATTCATCCCGGACGCTGTGTTTGAAGGCCGCAAAGGCTTCGGCGTCCGGATAATCCACGATTTGGTTCCTTTTAATTAGGAACCACTTCCAAAGCTTCCGAGCCAATTCGCTTGGTTGCTGGATTATGTGACTCAAGTCGTCAGCATCCGGTGGCTGGACATAAGTGCCCTGAAAATTGGCCCGCAAAGCATCTTCCAAATCTTCCCAGGTTCCAATGGAGTTTTCTGGGAGGATGTTCAGCCAGTGTTGTGCTGGTCCTTTCGGCTTTATAGGAAGATATTGAATGGCATGGAGGTCATCTCCACGAGCCATGTGAATGTGGAGAAGAAATTCTTCAATCCAGACGACCAGATCCGTCGTTTCGTTGTACTGTTCGATGTTTACGGGTTTAAACCCTTCCGGAATTGGTGATGCATTACCTCATCGGTGAAGCATAAAGGGTGTGCAGCCCCTCTGTATCGCGCAATATCACGGCGGAGGTCGGATGCCATCTGATTTTGGTTCTGATCCCGAATATAGTAATGGTCATCATGCTGGGCTTCATAGTCGTTATCTCACGCAGGGGCACGACCTCTTGATCCGTAGATTGATCTAGTCTGGCCAGCTTTATTG